GCGAGGACTCACAGGGAAAATCTCGCCCTCTTTGGTCGCCATCTCGCTCAAGCAAGATCGAGCTCGCTCAAGCGAGCATACCAGAAAAACGTTAGGAAAACCATTATTTGCATATCTCGCTCAGGCGAGGGAGCCATTGCTCAAGCGAGATGTCATCGCTTAAGCGAGTTGTTCGTCGCTCAAAAGAGATCGCGTGGGGCTAAAGGGTATTTAAGAGATTTTTAGTATGAAAATTCATTTTATTTCTATAACTCACGTACCTCTATCTTATTCTATGAACTTTCTCTTTCCTATCACAGATAAAAGCCTTAGAAACTCCAATATTTCACCGAATACGAGCTCAATCTTCTGCTCTACAGAATCTTCAGTGAGTATCTTAAAGCTAAAACTTTTCATTTTCACTTCTACCTTTTCTATTTTCTCTTTTCTTAAAAATCTCTTATCTATAAGGTGTAGAAATACTTTGGTCCATGAACCAACCTTCTCTTACTTTCTCATCACCCAAAACTAGTTTTCTAAGGTAAGGAGAGTTCTATCTTATTACTAAGAAATTTTGTGTTTGCACGTATAATTCTATTAATTTGAATACGTGATGAGTGATAATATGTTTTTGATATGTTTAGAATATTACTTTATATATTTGAAGCATGTTTTATGATGATGAGTGTGATTTTATTTTATATATATATATGCATGAATATGGTGGACTGAGTTCGAAGGAACTAACTCTCGGCAGTGATTGAGTAATATATGAAATAATAATGAACTAAGGAGAAATATAGAAAGATGAGATAGAAACATGAAAAGGGAAAGGAAAGGATATGATAAGGACGAGTATAGATAGTTCAGAGATACACTATGAGTATGAAAGATGGAGAAAACTGGAAAGTCTTGGGAAAATGAGGGTGGTGAATGCTCCTCTTGAATTGCGCAAGACAAATGAGAGTATGAGCACCACAGGCCTCACACTCGTTTCTTGACTAAACTCCTAACCATGCTTTTGCTAAAAGGGGCCGGATCGGCACACGCTGCATCCGTGTAGCTGCTACTATTTATGCTAAGGAAGACCTCGAGGAATCCTAGGGGCAGTGAAATTGAGAAATGGAAATGTTAGTAGCATTAGACTTAGGTTGAATAAATTAGATGAATAAATTATATTTTTAATTTAAATAATTATTTAATCACTTATACTTATTTTTTATATAATGTTTTTTAATATCAATGTATAATTTACATTATTTTTAGTTATTAAATAAGTTATAAAAGATTTATATATAACTTACATTATTTTCAAAGATCGCCTCTTCTTTTAAACTTTTTCAATGTTTTTTTAATAAATTTTAGCATTAATTGATCTTGTTTTAAAAAATTTATTCATAAATAATATTTTTTAAAATATTTTGTCATCGTGTTATGATTCATGTTGTGACATTAGATAAGTGCACCAAGTTGTGTCACTGTAACATAAAAGACAAGCATCTTCCATAATATAAGATTTAACTGTTAACTTGTAAAATTATTCCTATAAAATAGTCATTGTAACAAACAAACAAAATAATATAAGAGTAAAATTCAAAAATCTAAGTTAAGATAAAATTTTCCCCGAGTCTCATTATTAAATCCTCTCATAAGTCAAGTTTTAACATCAAAATAAAGATTAAATTAACTATAAGCAATCAAATCTCTTTTTTTTTCATGTTAAAAATTCTAATTCTTAGATTTTTCTAATTAGAATAAACATTAGATTTAAGAAATTAAATAATTATACAATTATCAATATAATTATACAATTATCAATTTAAATTTTTAAGATATCAATAACTATAGTGAACTACATCTTCAAGATGTAGTTCACTAACCAATTTTTTAATTGTGAAAGTGGATCTAATGTTAATCAATAGTTGATTAATTCATAGAAATAGTAAGAACAAAAAAAAATACTTAATTATGGCAAAGAAACTTTAATCCCCTAACATAAACTCTGTCCCTAAATCATCGAAAAGAATCATTTCATCTTTGATGATAGACAATTATAAAATTTACTTATTCACCTAAAATATTTGTCTATACACAATAAATAATATAATTTATTGTCCCTAATTTACACACTTAATTGTTATGTTTGACACTTATCAAATGAATAAATAAAAAAAATTAAATCATTGAAAATTGTTGTAATATATGTATGAATCACATGAAAATTTAGGTGAGGAAGAAATCTACGTTAAAATTTTCAAAAGCTTGGTATATTAGTGGCACAAGTAATCCTTGCTTTTCAAATAAAAAGATTGAGAGCATTCTTCTCAAGGATTCTGTTTGTATTTTATTAATAATTTCTTGCTTAAAAAACAAAAACGGCACAAGGACTACTTGAAGCATTCCACAAAAAATTGTTGGGCAAATGCTAAAAAATGAGTTAAACTTGAGACAAGTTTCCATAATCTTATCTTCAATTTCTTTAAACTTTTGTTCAATTTGAAAATCTTAAGGATTATGAGTTAGGAACTTCATGTGAGATTTAGCAGTGATAGTAGATGAAGAGTGGTATGGAGTTGTAAGAGGTGATGAGTAGAGATGGAAATAAGTTAGGCTTTTTGTAAATAGGTTGGTCTGTCTAATAATTTTGAAGCTTAAGTCTAGTTTATTACCTATTATAAACTTTTTATTAATTTGAACTTTTTAAAAGTCTGATTTGTTCTATTAGCTTTTTTAATAGCCTACTTTGTATCAATAGGTTATTAAGCTTTCTTATAAATAAACTATTAAACCATTTAAATAGGTAAGATTTTTAAAAATCATAAGGTTTATATCTAAATAAATTATTAAAAAATGATATAATATAAATAAGTACACAAGATTATAAGAAGATATGCAAAAAACTGTAGCAAGCAGAATTCTCTCTCTCATAGAATATGTAATAGAGACATTCTTCAACTCTAACGAAAAAGATTAGGATTTTTAATTTAAAATTTTATTATTTTAAAATTTAATTGATTTAAATAGATCATTCTAATAGGCCTAACAGATTTTTTCTTAAACTCAAACTTGACCTATTTAATTAATTAAATTTTTTAAAAAGGTTAAATTAAGTCTATTAATTAAATAGGTTAAGTCGGGCTAAACTTTAAATAAGTTAGGTCGTAAGCTCCTATTGGATGGCCTAACTTATTTTCATCCCTAATAATGAGTAGGATGAAGAAATGAAAGAGTTTATAGAGATAGAGAAAAAATTCAATAAATTTGAAAGTATTTTACATTAAGATTTGAGATAATTTTTTTAATACAGACCAAAAAGTAAATTTTAGTAATTTTAAGGAAATTAAAAGTAAATTTTAATTCATTAAAAATGAATAGTAAAAAGATATTAATGCATTCCCATTATAATTTATAATATATCTCTACCATAATTTTCAATATAAACATTTTATTATTATTTTTTGAAAAAAATACTTATTAATTTTTCATTTTTATTTGGAATGGTTCAAACAAAAGAGATAATGTCTCGTGGAACCATTTTAAAACTAAAAGAAGATATTACATCAATTAGGTTAGGATCCATTAACACCAGTAGACTTACACTAAATCTCAACTGTACAAATCAATAATCTAAATGTTGAAAAGTTACATGTTGTTTGATTAAAGCAATAAAGTACAAGCACGTAGAAAGAGATAATTTTTTAGCCATTAAATTATTAATTTGTACGGTTGAAAACTTAAAATTTGATGTAAGTCTAAAAGACTTATACCTAATGTCAATGGCTCTTATCCCCACTAAATTAATAGTAAGTTTGATGAATAGCATGTAATTAAAGCAAAGAATATTTTGTTTTGGTAAACAATACAGAAGGTGGTAACCAGAAATAAAGTATTATACAGCTGTATATATATTAGCTACCGTTGAAAAAAGTATATGTTAACAAAACGTTAAAAACAACTGATGTTAAAATACCATGAGCAAAATTGAGTAGAAAGGATGAACAGAGTTTTCAATAGAACAATATCTTCACACCATGCATCTTTTCACTAAGCTCTTCTATGTGGTACCCCTTAAGTACGACTTACATATTTAATTGAAAAAAATAAATGTATAATACAATTTTTTAAATTATAATAAGACTTAATGGCTTAGGGGGGCTTTTTTGAGGAAAAAAAACTAACATAAAATATACATCATGTTAATGGCTAATTTTTTTTAAATTAAAACTTGTATTTTCAGTACACAACTTAGTTTATGAATTAATTTAAAAATAAAAAAATCATGTACTATAAGTTGAATTTAAATAAAATAATAATAAATTTATAACTCATTTATTACATTATTTTTTTTATATTTGATATTTTTCATCTATGACTTGCGCTAAATTTATAAATACTTTTAAAGCTGCACCATTTTAATAATTTTATTTTTATTTTACATTTTTATTATTTTTTAAAGAAAAATAACATATTAGATACAGTTTAAATTGGAATTTTTTTATAAAAAAAACAGTAAATTAGTGAAAATAAATTATTGTATTTTTTTAAAAAGTTTTGTCAACATAAGATTAAGGATAAAAAGTTAATAATAGTAAAATTTATTAGAAAAGAAAGTATTTATTGTGTTTTTATAACTTTAATACAATAACTATGTATTTTTTTTATAAAATTTTTTTATTTGTGAATGCTTAAACTCAGCCTTAAAAATTAAGATTAACAAAAATCTTTTTTAAAGATAAATTTGAGCATGAAAAAGAGAGACGGGCATGTACACCTTAAAATGGTGGAGCAACGAAAACGACATGTCTATTTTAAGCAAGCAAACCGTATCATAATCATAATGCTTCGATATCTAGCTGGAATTAAGTGTCCTCTGTTCATCATATCTTTGACACGTTGGTGAAACCTTTGATGTTTCTCTTAATTGTGTTGAGCAATTTGTGAATTAGGGGGAGAAGATGATGATAAGTTCTTAGATCGCAAGATCAAAATAAGAATTAATTCATCATATTGAATCAGTTCAAATGAATTTCTCCAACTTGGAAGCCAATTATACCATTTTCGTAAACTCTGAAGACACGGTGCCGGTCTGTTTCAATAGGACTACGTTACACGGTTCCGCCCTTTGGTTAGAAAATTCTATAGAGAACACACTCCCAGCATTTGGTCTGCAATTTGCTATTGTTCTAGCACTCAATCGCATTCTGCTCCTTGTTTCAGCGCTATACCATGTACCTCGTATTGTTCCCAACATTCTTGTAAGTACTATTCAGCCTATCATGATATTTATCGTTGGTTGATGGATTCTTAATCTTCACAAAATGACGATGAAATAATTCAAAACGTAAATGTGACAGCTTTATGGGATCACCTTTGATTTTTAACACAATTATTTGTACAAAAAAAATTAATAATTGACCATTTATGTGCTACCATCATCATACATGATTAATGCCAGACAGCTTTTAATGGAGTTATGTTATTTGAACATTTTTCCAATGCCTACATTATTTGTTTATACTACATCACATTTGTTTATAATTTTTTCCTCTCTAAGGGTATCAGTTCTAAGGTGTTCAAACAACATTACTGTTTTAATAAAATTGTTAATACGAATTTGTGTATTTCTTTCATACAAAAGAGTACTTTTGTTATGACAAAATAATTATTTAAAAGGAAAAACTGAAGAATAAACTATTATTTTCTTTAAAAGCTATGGTTCCAAACACGTTATATGCTTAAATTTCAAATATTCATTACTAATCATCATCAAATTGTGTGATTATGTACCTAGACTGGTTTTTTATTAGGTCCATCTGTTATGGGACGTTGGAAAGCTTTCGTGAGAAACGTATTTCCATTTGGCAACATGGTGCCATTAGAGACCATGGGAACATTGAGCCTTGTTTACTACATGTTCTTGGTGGGTCTAGAGATAGACTTCAAACCACTAACAAGGTTACGCAACAAGAAGGCCATGCTTATTGCCATTGTTGGCATAATCTTCAGTATACCAATGGGGGGTGGCTTGTACTTCATGCTTGTCACCGACATGGGGCGTAAAAATTTGTCTCATCTCACCGAAAAACACGTAAAGGGGTCATTGTTTTGGGGAATTATCCTTTCTTGCAGTTGTGAGTTTTCTGAAATGGCAAAAATCCTTTCAGACCTTAAGCTTTTGGTCACAGAAAATGGACAACTATCTCTAACAGCTTCTCTTACTAATGACTTGTTTTCATGGACACTGTGTGTTTTGGCTCTAACGGAATTCTATTACACTTCAGTACTAGCATTATTTATCACCCTTGCGGTTGTGTTGGTTTGCTTTTTCGCAATTAGTCCTCTTACTAAGTGGTTATTCAACAATGTTGGTACAGGGGACCGAGAGTTCCTTGAGTCACAAGTAATATTTTTGTTGCATGTACTGTTGGTCATTGGGCTTCTCACTGATGGGTTGGGCATGCATTCCATAGTGGGTGCTTTCTTTTTGGGTGTTGTGATCCCTCAGGGGGCACTTAACAATGCAATTCAAGATAAGGTGCTTGATTTTGTGGCTATGTTCATGATGCCTCTGTTCTTTCTGGCTGTTGGGGAGAGAATTGAGATCCAAAAATTGGCTTTGGACACGCATTGGATAACCTTGGTGATGGTTATTGTGCTGGCCTTTGTGGCAAAGATGGTGTGCACTTTCACGGTCGCTTGGTTTTACCAAATGCCTTTCATGGAAGGAGTGTCCCTTGCGTTGCTCATGAATATTAAAGGAACAATGCCATTTATCATTCTTTGCACCGGCAGAGACAGACTCGTAAGTTATCCTCCAACTTTATGCTTTAGAATAATATGAGCATGCTTCTCCATCTAAGGTTTGATGAATTAAATTTAACATGAGCAATGTTTTAAATTGCTCTTACAATATCATGGTTGGGAAGAGTTTCAAAACCAGCTTACTGTTGTGAAAAATTCAGCCAAATGTCCCTGGTGCAATTATAATTGAGATCTCAAACTTTATTATTGCGATCAGAATTTTAATTGCAGACCGTAATTTAAAATCCTATATATTGATATAGTACCCATTAAATATATATAACCAATCATAAATTCATGTTAAAATGACAATTTTAAAAAAAAAAAATTTGCTTCTGACATTGACCAAATGATGGGCCCTTATGCAAGAATCGCTGTCATTGCTTGTGTCTATTGGCAAAATGATGATGTAGGCCCTTATGCAAGAATTCCTTATTATATTAACATGTAGATTGAAATCAATTATTTCTAATTTGTTTCTTTTTAATTAAAAAATGACACATTATTGAAAGATAATATCATTTTATTGGAAAGATAGAAAAATAAAGGATAAGAATTAGGAATAGGTTATTTAGCCCTCAACATCTGAAAAATGGTTCATATTTAAGAAATAATGTTATGTTACATTCGTAATAATAAAATTTCTCTTTCTCAAACGTTTTCTCACTTTACCAATATATTTATTCATCTTCTAATTGTTTGTGCATGAGATATACATAATATATACAATACTTTTTAATTTGCAATTATTTTATAATAAATAATTTTTATTTATTTATTTTTATCATGTCGATTATCTTCACTCTTTCATTCTCGTCTGTCTTTAGTGTAAAACAAAAGAAGTGTAATAAACACTTCAATATGTATATATCTTGAGAGAAATAAGAATTAAAACATATATATACGTGCGATAAAATGATGCAATATGATAGAAAGATACAGATTAATAGAGATAACAATGAGTGTTGATATCATCGTGTTTATAAATCAAAATTATAAAACAAAGTTTGTTGTGTAATTGTAATTTTTCATCATGCAAAAACTTACGCCCATTATTGATGATACACACCTATTCATACATCTACCATGCAGGAACTGGACAACCAAACCTTCGGGGTGATGCTAATCTCATGCTGGCTAATGACAATTCCCGTGGGGCCAATCTTAGCATCCATGAGAAAAACCATCACAACAAAAAAGTGTTTAGGGAGCCAAAGAACCATGCAAGGCACACAAACACAACCAGACTCACCCCTAAGAGTCTTAGCTTGCATCCACACAAAACGCGAAGCATACGTAATCATCAACCTCTTGAAATCCTCATGTCCCTCAGTTAGGACCCCAATCCAAGTTCTTGCTCTTGAACTCAACAAAATGACCAATTGCCCCGCTTCTTCCCTCATCATAAGAGACGCTCGCAAACCCTCATTTCCCTCCAAATCCTCCAAACTCGACACTGAAGACACCCTCTCCTCCTTCGACAACCTTAACCAAGCCATCTTTGCCGACAAAATGAGAATCATTTCAGACTACAACTCCATGCACAAAGACATCTTAAACCTCGCACGTCAAAGAGGTGTAACCCTAATCTTAACCACACTTTATAAACAACCAACCTATGATGGCTTAGGAGCAGGTGTTGCGACTGCAAGAGCGGTTAATATTATTAACCGTGACCGTGCAAGTAAAGATGAGAAGAAAGTGGTGTTGGAGAATCTTGCTAAGGAAGCGCCTTGTTGTTTGGCTATACTTGTGGATAGAGGATTGAGTCATAAACGTTCCAAGGAGAAACATATAGCTATGTTTTATGTTGCTGGGGAGGATGATCGTGAAGCTCTTTCTTATGCTTGGAGGATGAGTAGAAACACTGAGGTTAAGCTAACGGTGGTGAGGCTTGTTTGGGAGAACCCTAATGATGAGTTTGATGAAACGGATAAGGAGTTTATTAAAGGGTTTGTGCAACAAACGGTGGACATGCCTAGTGTGAGGTATTTGGAAAAGGTAGTGAGGGATGAAAAGGAAACGGTGAAGCTTTTGAATAAGATAGGGAACAAAGGGTTTGATTTGTATATTGTTGGGAGAGGGCATGGGAGGAAGATGTCATTGGCACAAACGGTGGATCCTGTGCTGGAGGAGCCTGTGTTGGGGCCTCTTGGGGATGCATTGACGGATTTGAATTCTGCAGCTGAGACATCTATTTTGATTTTTCAGAGATATGCTGAAGTTTGTGATGATTCTTCTAGTGGTGAGAAACATGCAAGATCTGCATGTGCTAATGCACAAGCACAGGTTTTTGACGGCATGGTGGAGCAGCAGTTATTGTACCCTCCAATGAGGTATCCGCCCATGGTTTTGAATCAGTATGCTTGAAATTTATGTGATGCGGGTCATCTTAGAGTGTGAATGATTTTGAGGGAGAGAAAATCCTGAAAAATTATCTGTAGTTTATCATCAGTTTAGTTTTAGTTTACTTTGGTCTTGTTTCTTGTCTGTAAAGTTATTTGTTTCTTTGTTTTTCGGCAACGAAGTTTAATGAGGTGGTAGTGTACAGAGGGAGATGTTAGGCCCAATTTAAAGATTAATTAAGTAGTTTTGTCTAGTAACTAACGTTGTAAAACTTAGGCTAATATACATATATAAGATGATTCTCACAAGGTTTCCTTAATGACAGATAAAAATGGTAAGCTATATAGTCTTTGCTCTTTGGTGGTGGTCACTTGATATTAAGTGGGTGTTTATTCTCTTTGAAGTAATGGTAAGCAATGTCATCCAGCCAATTTCGTTTGATGAGTGTTTTTAGAAAATCATTCACCATGTTTAATTATGAGTATACATAAAGAGAAGGTTAACTTAAAAGTTTGATCCTATTATAGGACTAAACAAATTTTCGAAACTTAGAAGAAATTTATTTTTTCAGTATTACTAGTTCTGATACAAATATATAGTATAAGCAAAGCTTCAGAAAATAGAACACATAAACAGGTAAGGTGTTTTGCTACAAACAAACAGTGATTACTTAATACACTCCAAAAAGTATGGGTGGTGCATTAAGTTGATAAAAATAAAATTCATATAACTAACAAAACATAAAATAAAAATTACAAATCACAAAATCAGGGTATACAAAAGAAATTTCAACAACGTTAACACTTTCATTTAAAATTTTTTATGGACACTCCACACAATTCTTTCAAAAATCTTGATCTTGAGAGAGCTTTCGATAGCATATCAGCAACATGAATATCTAAACTACAATGAATTAGCTTGATCTCATATTTTTAAAATTTTCACATACAACATGAAACTTTACTTTGATTTTTTCGCAATAACTTGTTGATTTGTGAACAAAAAATTATAGTTGCTTTTGGCCGTTATACTTCTAAATCACGTAGAATTTTTCTTATCTAAATAGTTTGGTTTCAAGTTGTAACTATTTAAATTGAGTAGTGTCTCTCAAATACCTAAATATTCTCTTAAAGTGTAACTTATTAGGATTTTTGTAAGGTAGTTAAATCAGAATTTAAATTGTGAATCATAAAACCTATTTTTTGAATTATGAATCAAATCATATCTTAAATTGTAAGATTCAAGATCAATAATTTAAAATATAAAAAATATAAATATAAGAGTATTGTAACAAAAAAAAATTATATATTAACATTTTGAAGTAATTAGTATATAGCTAACAATGTGATATAAATTTATAAATAAATTAATATTCAAATCATAACACGCAATCACATTATCAAAAAAAAAAATTGCTCAAATTCAACATACAATCTTTCAAAAAGATAAACAAAAAATGACAACAAGTTACTATAGCAAAAGTTCAAATAAATAATGTATAATCATTTATTATCTCCAAGATCTATGTCATTTAGTTCATCTTCTTCATCTTCCAAAATCAAAAGTTCTTCCTCTTCCACCCCATGTCTAGTAATGTCTTTAATTTCATCATCATCTTTTTTTATAGATTTTTTTTTTCTTATCAGCATTGGCATTTAAGTTTCTTGGACCTATAAAACCAAAATAATGGAACAAGCATGACAATATATATTTGAGTAAATAACTTTTTAGTATTTTTTATTCAAGTTCTAATTTTGAATCTACAGAAATACCACTCTTTCTTTTCTTGCTTAAAGCTCCCTCATCAAAAGTAAAGCACTCATATATATCCATTCATAAAGCATTATTGAAAAAGTAAACCTCTTTTTCAATAATTCATTCATTATCTGATTCAATATCGAATAAGCATATGGGATCATAAGTCTCTCCCCTCTCTTGCTCTATACTTTTACTCATCTCTAATTGTAGATTATATTTAACAACACAAGTACATTTAGTCTTTGTTGTTTCAAGGGATTTCTTCTTTTATTATGCATTTGATCAAAAATGCTCTAACTCCTTTCACATTTGTTGCACTACATGTAAGACTCAAAATTCTCACGGCTATCTTTTGCAACTCTTTACCCTCTCCACCATTACTCTCCCACCAAAAGCTATCAAAATTCAAAACAAAATATGTATAAACAATTAGCAAAGTATGTCATGTTACTTATTGGTTTATAATTATTTGTAAAGTTAGCAAAGTATGAAGACATATTCATTCCAAACAATTCTTTGGCTAACTTAAATTTCTCAAGTTATTGATCAATTAAAAATCTTGTCCTTCTATCTAAAATCATTCTTTCAATGGTTTCATATAAACCATATAAAACCTCATTATCTGGATTAAAACTTTTGTCATAGTAAAACTTAACCAAACAATAAAAAAAGATTCAGGATGAATAGGAAACTATATGACATTTAAGATATTAAAAATGTCTATTTATGTAGGATTGAGATACTATGCAAATGCATGGAGAGGTCTATATATTTGTAAGTTCCACCTAATATCAATGATCTTCCACACTTTCTTATACCTTGACTTTTTCTTTTGGAAATGTTTAACAATTTGCTCTTTGGCTCTATCTATTGCTTCATAAATATATGGCATGATTGGTTTTGAATCACCATCTATAAGTATAATGGAATTACACACTTTAGACAATATTTAATGGATTTCCAAAATTTATCATCATTAAATACTATGCTCATCACTTGCTTAGAGCTCTATTAGCATAAGAACTACAACCAAACTTTTCCAAAATAAACATAGATCTAAAAGCATTCTTTTGTTGCATAATGCAATTTAATGTGAGATAAGCAGTTGCAAGCCTTGTTACAGCTGGTCTAGCTAACTCCCTTCCCTTAGAATGCTTTCTGTACAAATTAAGGACCCATGTATGCATACTTATATATGTAAGTTGTGACTTTCTTTGAATTTGTAATGGTAGCATAGAAAATTGGAAGCTCTCCAATATCCTCTAGAACTAAATCAAGGCAATGGGCTGCACAAGGTGACAAAATAATCTAATTCTCTTCTCTTCTAACATTTTTCCTACTGCCACAATTATCAATAGATTTTAGAAAAACAGTCCCACTAGGTCTACTAACAAGAAAATTAGTTAGTGATCTTCCTTTCCTATTTGTCCAACCATCACACATCAAAGTACAGGCCCATTTTTCTCATTCGCTTTTGTATTTCTCTAAATTTTGATGGATGCTATCAACTACTTTTTTTCAAAAAAGAGACTCTTACTTCATGATAAGTAGGAGGTTTTAAACCCTTGCCAAATTCTCCATTAGTTTTCACTATTTGAATAAAATAGGGCTTCTAACCAAATTAAATGGCAAGGCATTAGCATAAATGCATTTGCAAATTTCTTGAATGACAACATCTCAATCTTTGAACATTGTATTTATTGTTGTTTGCTTCAAATTTTAGATGTCCCTCCATTTTCTTTGTTGACAAAAGAATTCATACTTCTCTTTTGATGACCACTTACATTTTGGGTCTCATTTTCTTTAGAAAAAACTTCAAGCTATTTTGACCCCTTTTTTTTACTTTCTCTTCCAATAGTTTGATGAATATCTCCTTTACCTCATCTGAAACACTTGTACATGCATTTGGCCTTGTTTTAGCTAAATGATGTTTCCTCCTTACAACTCTACCCCAACAAGCATGAGAACAATATTTGCATTTCACTAATAGCCTGTAAAGGAAACACTTTCATAGTGTTTCCATGTGATATCACTTTCCTTTATTTTTTTGGTAAGACCCATTTGTCTCTCCAATTAGCACACAACAAGCAAAAAGGAGAGGAGAAGTAAATAAAAAATAGGAACTATAGTAGAGGGAGGGAGACCAACAGAAATATTGAATATGAAGTAGGAAATATATAGCATTAACAGTGTATATGGAGAAGAGGAAAGCGTAGGAATGAGTAGACAAGATTTTCTTTGACTAATAAATAGTAGGTTGATCGGCAGAAGCATGAAAAATCGATATTTCTGTAAAAAAAATAAAATTAAAAATAATAGCTTTTAGGATTTTTACTAAACTGAGTCGTCGACCTGACCTGTTTCTTGCACGACCTAGAATCATAGCCAATATCCAAATTCGGGATTCAGCCTCGATACGTATGATTCAACCGATTCTGGCAATGATTCAAGCATTAATTTGATTTTGCATCACAATTCATATTCCTGAGAAATGAAATTGAATCGAATCATTAATATCATACCATGAATCACACAATACTAACTACACTAGATTTTTTTGTACAAATCTTAAGAGTACACTAGTTGTATGCATAAGATCCAATCTAGAAGAAGTAAGATATAATAAACTATCAATCGAGCTTTTATATAAAGAAACATCAATCCTTTTAGATCCATCATCCTAGGTGAGTTTCAAATTTTGCAGTAAAGGAGTAATGGTAGATTTGCAATTATACATTATGAACTTTTTGAAGACTTCATAAGAATACTCCTCTCAATTCATAAAATCTCCATCAAGAAGTTGATCAAGTGAAGAAAATAATTTATTTTCCTAAGGTAGACATTATAAATTATTTTTTCATCTCCTCCATAAAATTCTTGACTTTTTGTTGATCATTGCTAATCACTAATAATCATCAACATACAAAGAGACAATTAAAGAACTAGCATCCATTGACCTTCTCACAAAAAGAGTAACATCCTTCTCACTTCTCTTGAAACCTTGAGTGTAGAAGTTATTGTCAATTTTGTTGTTACCAATCTCTTAAGGAGCTATTTTAGTCCATACAAGATTTTTTATTAAGCTTATACACTTTATCTTCACTTCCACAATAAATCTTTTAAATTGAGCAATATAAATCTCTTTAACTAAGGTTATCATTTAAGAATGCAGGTTTGACATCTAAATATCAAATTTTTCACTTCATTTGTGTAGTCAAAGCTATGAAACATGAATAGTATCTATTCTTGCAATTGAAGCAAAGGTCTCCGGGTAGTCTATTCCAAATTGCTAAATGTACTCTTTAACAACAAGCCTAACCTTGTATTTGTTGATGGGTCCATTAGGGTTTTACTTCACCTTATAAATCTATTAAACTCTAATAAGGTTTTTGCTTTTAGGTTTATCAACTAACTGCTAAGTCTTGTCTTCAATAATGTTTATCTCCTCTTTTATGGCTTTAGTTGTGAAAGGTTCAAAAATAGTAGTGTTACATATGTGATAAATTTTAGAAAAAGATTTAGTACCTCTTACAACATAGTTATCGTCAATATCTTCTTTATGAACTTTATATTCTCTCTAAAGTGGAAAAAATTGAATACCTATCCACTTGAGAAGTCTCGTAATTCTAACAAGTATCTCCATCCACCTTGACATTTCTACTACCAAAAACTTTACCTAAATCAATGTTATAGACTTTATAACCTTTAAATTATGAGCTATAGTCTACTAAAATTTATTTTTTTTCAAATCAATGCTTTAACAAGAAAATTTTTTTCACCTTTGACTATTGGACCTTCCCTTATCCCTTGTTTGTGAGACAAATTATGTTACTTTCTCTTGTTTAAGAAATCTCCTTTGTTTTTTAGCGTAAAGATCACTTGCAAGCTCTATCAATTTTATCTTAAAAAGATCTTTGAACTCTTAAAGTAAACAAATCTTGCATTCAAACCTTTTAAGAGTATGAAAACTTTTTTACCAGTTCTATTGTAACATCCTTAATTTTTAATTACCATGATAAGTGTATAAATTCGGTATAAAATAGAAAATAAGTTAAATTACATTAATGGTTAAATATGATAATTTATTAATTGTATATTCCGTTCAATTTTTCTCACAAACACAAAAGCTTGAAAAATAAAACCATAATAATTTAAATAACTTAAGAAAAGATCAAAATAACATGATCCTATCTTGTTCTCATAATATCTAAAAAAATATTTCATTATTTACAAATATTCATAACAGTTATCAAAATACATTAGGACTATTTGCTAACATTTTACAAATACACAAAATAATATCAGTTCTAATGAGCAGCCTGTCCATCACATGACCAAGTAGCACTAGTCATTCCTATGCCAACCTTCTATCATCGCTAAGTCCTCAAAATTCAAGTCGTCATCCGAACCAAGATACAAATCACCCGGATCTGCAGTGACCTAGGTACCCGTGATCTGCTCGAATGTCCATCACGATGGTCTCCCGAAGTGATCATGGTCGTGATATGTAATCAGATAAGTCGCTGCTGCTGGAGTCCTCACAGTACCAGGGAAGATATATATACAAAGAGTATGATGGATTCTATGTACAGGGAAATCAAAAGGAACACTAAAGGCTAGTTTCATTTCCATCCTAACCATCTCAGTAGGTACCTCATTATCATATACAATAATTCTAAAGAAACTAAGTCTCTGGTACTCATTAAATACATAGTTCAACCTATTTGTTACAGAACTATCTACTAATCTAATGTTCTCGAGTGGTGTTGTCATCTGAATTCCCTGAAAGGTTTACGTAAGGATGAGTCTCTATTCATATTACCAAGTATACATTCACAATTTGTCACATAGTAAAACAAAGATCATACAACAATCAATCATGTTACAAAATCATACTCATGTACACACAAAAATCTTTAAGTGTTCAGCTTATTACTTTTCATCTCTCTCTTATACTCAGGGTTCTCATTTCACTTTCACTGCCCCTGGGATCCGTCGAAGTCTTCCTTAGCATAGATAGTCGCTAGATAGCCGCAACTACACGGATACAACGTGTGCCAATCCAGCCCCTTTTAGCAAAAGCATAGTCAAGAGTATAAGTCAGGAAATGAGTGTGAGGCCTGTGGTGCTCTTACTTTCTTTTATGTTGCACAATTCAAGAGAAGCATCCACCACCTTCATTTTCCCAAGATTTCTCAATCGTCTTTATCTTTCACACCTCCAGTGTACCTTTGAACTATCCATAGTCGTCCTTATCATATTCCTTTCTCATTTCATTCCACTTTATCTGTATTTTCCTATTTCATCTCTATATTTTCAATTCTCTGTTTACTAATATATTATTCACACTTTTATCTCTCTATTTTACTCTAGTTTTATTATTATATCATACATCATTCAATCATTGCCGAGAGTTAGTTCCATCGGACTCAGTCCACCACATACATGCATATACACTCAAATCAATGATCATACACTTCATTAAACACTACAAAACATACTTCAAACATAATAAAAACACGTTCTCATCCAAAATACACTCAAAATCATGCATTTCATCACAACCTTTTCATGAATACAGACATATCACTTTCTTGGTAACAAAATGGAGCTTTCCTTACCTTGAAATGGAGGTTTAGTAAAGGGTTTTTTATGGTTTTTGCTCAAAACGTGAGGTTCTTCCTAAATATCACAAGAGACCTCATTCAGAGATGGAGAATCAAGAAAATAACCAAAGGAATGGAGAACTAAGCTTCAAAAACTTACCAAAGAGCAAGGGAAGTGATCTTCGAGACTTTGATAGGAGAAAAGTTGGGATTTTTCCAAGGATTTGTTGAGAAAATGAGGAGAGAAGTCAGAGAGAACATATGAGAGTCGTGACTTAGATTATAATCCAAGTTTCTTAACTTGTAAACTCTTAAATACCATTCAACTCGCGACATTCTCGCTATAGCGAGCTAATTCTCGCTACAGCGAGATTTTCTCTCACTACCGCAAAAAAATCAGACAAAATTATACCTTACTGTCTGTCATTCTAGCTACAGCGAGAACTCTTCACTACAATGAGAGAATCCTTGCTACAGCGAGAAGATTCTAGCTACAGCGAAAGAGTACCAGAATGTTTGTTTTTGAATGCTGATTTCTCACTACAGCGAGACACATCTCGCTACAGCAAAAAATCCTGCAACTCACACTTTTAAAACTCTCCTAATTTCAAGCAACATGCATTAACAACTCACATCAAGTATAAAATTAGTAATTAATAAAATAAGGGTGTTAAATCTATTATCTTAGAAGTTTTTCTCTCATCAATCTGATTTAGTTTACAACCTTCAAAATTTTGGTCATGAAGTGCTTTATGGTTTGAGCCTCATTCATTTTCAATGCTTCAAATTTTCTTTTAAGGTATCAAGTTTCTCCCAAACTTCTTTTGTTATATTTAAATGAGATTCTCATAAAGACATCATCATCTACACAACAGAGTGAAGGATGATAAAAATCTTAGCCTATTGATAACTTTCTCACTATGAAATCTCATTTGAGTTGCATTAAAATTTTCTTGCAGAGGTGATGGATTAGGATGTTTCCACCACTTCCCAAGATCATAAGCTCTCAACTAAGCTTCATCTTCACAACCTAGACTTCGTAGTTCTTTTCTATATAAATACAAGAGGTGCTACTAGAGAAATGTTTAAAACCATAAAAAAAGGTTGGGTTTTCTTTTTTGCCCAACTAAATTCTCACTTTGTTTTCTGATTTTTCAAGTGAAATTTTCTGGTTTCTCTAATTTTTCTCATAAGTCCCTCAAGAACATAAAGGCTATGAGTATTGTTAGCACTCAGCAAATTTCATAATTGTGAAAAATTCTTTCTTTTTCAATATTACTTGTTATTGATACAAATACATAGCATAAGCAAAAATTTAAGAAAAAAAAATGCATTCCAAAAAGTATGGCTCGTTGTACACTAAATTAGAATAAAAGTCACGTAATTAACAAATTATAAAATAAAAATTACAAATCATAAGATAAGGGTGGACATCAAAATTTCAGCAATACTGACCTGATCCTTATACTTTATTTGTCCCATTTCTCAATTTGATCTTTATAACTAAAAAAATCATATTTTAATTATCGAATTAGTGCCTACTGTATGCTCTTGCTATATTATTGTTAGAAAATTACTAACTAATCTAATGTCTGAATTTGAAGTGTTCAAATGCCAACAACCAATCAAGAATCTTCTAATAATATTATAACGGCAAGATTGATTCGATAATCAAAATATTCAAGATTTTAGTAATTTGTTACGAACTCAAGAACGATGTCCTACATAAAGAACAAGTAATCAAGATGGATAGTAATTAATGTATATAGCTGAGGTTAATCTGGACACACATCCCAAATATGTTCAACAGTTTAAAATTAACTCAATCAAAAATCAATTCTTCCCAACTTTAAAGCGTATCCTTAGTTATTGGAAACTTTCACATGTCACTTCAAGAAATACACAATGAATAGTTGATCCAAGTCATTCTTTCAATAACAACGGAAACACATTCTTGTATTATCTTTGAGAACTATCTCTTTCTCCCCTAAGATCAAGAGCCTTTAAATTCTGAATCAATTTCTTTTACATAATCTAGCAAATTCATACTAAAGTTGTGTTTATTGTCAAACTAAGACCTCGATACTCTTTTTTCCCCTGTTCTATTCTAGTCAGATTGTACCATGCGAGATGATATACATGATTTAAAAAAAAAAAAAACAGGTAACTGGTAAGGTATTTTGTGAGACTGAGTTATTTTATTTGTGGATGTGGTCAATAAATATACCAACCAATAGTCTGAGTTCAGCTTTAAAATCAGAATTATGTAGTTAAAACATACCAATCTTTCGTTAACTATGTTGATTAATGTAAATGCAGAGTAAAAACACATTAAGAAGTAGTAGTAGACCTGCTTGATTTTGTTGAGACAATTTGATTTGCACAGAAAAACAGTCTTCTGGATTGAAACCCATGTAAATAGTAATTGGTCATTAATTTCCCTTGACGATTCTTCCTTACTGTCCTTTTATTTGTTTGTGTTCTTGACCTTAAACATAGAATCCTAGTTAATAGTTGAATCTGGGGTTTAAGAAATTGATTGCCAGAGTTTTTCACTTTAAGTAATGTCTTCCACTGAATGGAGTTGACATTTTAGACACTAAAAAGAGCACAACCCGTCACTGAGAAAGAGAGACAGTAGGAAATCAAATCAATCCCATATAAAGCATAAGAATGTGCACATATATCACTTCTCACGCATAAGAAAGACAGCTTTATTGCATAAAACAACTCATCAAGTACAAACATAGTTTACATAGTATGCAAGATACTATAAGTGTGTTCTGAAATGCTTCTATACCTCATCCTTGTCCTTCTTGTTAATTACAACATGTTTCCGTTCTGTGTCTGTCATCATTTTCATAGCATACAAGATAGTGTAAGTGTATCCTAAACAATTTCTATACCTCATTCTTGTCCTTCTCGTTGATTACATGACCATCAGCTTCAGCTTCCTTTATTTTCCTTTCTATATCTGCCTTCTTTTCGAGAAGTGCTTCTATTTTTTCATTAACTTTCTCAAGCTTTTGCTTCAGCTTGCTTGGATCCTTGATCTTGTCCTTTCCAGTAAGTTTTTTCTTCTTCTCTTTCTCCTTCTTGTCCTTGTCTTCTTTTTTCTTCTTTTCTTTTACTTCATGCGCTTCATCCTTCTCTTTATTTTCTTTTTCACCTCCCTTCTTGACTTCTTCTATATCAATATCCCTTACAGAAGCCCCATCCTTGTTATCCTCTATCTCATCCTTCTTCTCATCTTTGTCCTTTTCCTTTTTATGATCCTTCTCTTTATCCTTCTTTTCTTTTTTCTTCTCCTTCTCTTTTTTTTCCTTCTTCTCTTCACCATCATCATCTCCTTCTTTTTCTTTGTCCTTCTTTTCTTCACCCTCCTCCCCATCACCTTTTTCCTTCTTTTCCTTTTTCTTCTTTTCCTTCTTTTTCTCCTTCTTTTCATCATCCTCATCATCATCTTCTTTGCCCTTGACCTTCTCTACATCAACTTTGTCATTTTTGTTTTTCTTTTCCTTTTCCTTTTTCTTCTTCTCCTTTTCCTTTTCCTTTTCCTCCTTTTTCTTCTCACCATCTAAATCATTTTCTTTTTTTTTTCCCTCACCTTTGTCCTTCTCCTCCTTCTCTTTCTTCTTTTTCTTTGATTTATCTTCATCTTTATTTTTTTCCTCTTCCTTAACTTTTGAATCCTCTTCCTGGATTGATTTATTCTTCAGATCCCGTTCTATCTCCATCTTCTCTTCTTGTACATCACCTGGGTTGTAGCCCTCAATCTTGATTTCATGGGAGTCTTCCATATATATTCTGTTTTTACAAAGTGATGATGTTAAACTTAATTAAATCCAACAGGTCCCTGAAACATATGCATGTCATAGTAAAGTCAAACCATCTATTAAATAACTTGCTTGATATGGTTACAGGAAAGACATTAGCTAAACTCCAACATATTGAGTTAATCAAGAGTTAAATGAATGGAGCCTCTCCAAAATCAATGCTGAACTTACAACACAAGCTAGGAAAATGAGAATCAATCAAGCTCTCACAGAATACTCAACGAGGATAACAGAACTAAGTGCCAAATATAAGGAATTGATATATAAAACATCAACTGAATAGATTCAAATTTCATTATTCTTAGACATAGAATTGGAAAACGCACTAACAATTTGTTTAAAACTACAATGTCAAACAAAATAATTCCCAATCAGTTTGACTGCAATTTGTTTCTATTCAATTGGAGTGAGTTTAGATTCACTTTGAATGATAATGAATCCACATTTACTTATAACACTAGTAGTTCCCATTTTCACGTTTTTCAAATACACAAGATATGCAAAGTAAAGTATACAATTACAACATATCACCGAAGAAAACTTCGTTAAAAAGAAAAAACTGAGAATCACTAAAATTATGCACAAGATCTGAGATTATCAGCAGCAATATGCAAAATAATCAACCACTGAATTAGTAACCAAGTATTTAATTTAATTATGACATCTGGGACTTTCCATAGCCCATCCAAGCAAAAAGATGCCAAACATGGATATCCGGCACACATTGGATATGTTAGCTATATTCTTCAAACTTATGTCAGCAGATCCAAAATCCAAGATCTGCTTAAACACACGCATTCGAATCTGAGCGGCCTCTTCCTTATGAAAACTTTTACATCTCAAGAAATGAAAGCTAACCAGACAAGAATTTTCTCCTCAACCAAAAGCAGAACAAATTAAAACAAAATTTGAAATAAAATCTGGGCATTTAAAAAGTCAACAAGATCGATCAATTTTTCATAGTGAAAGGCACACAGATAATTCAATTTTCGATCAATCACGATATGAACGTAGATAAAGTAAGCCTTAGAAAATATGCTAAAAAATACATAAACATAAATTCAAAATAAAACTATAATTAATAACATTAAAATAATTCTGAAAAATGATTATTTAAAACATAAATTCAGTTTGAGAATTGGATGAATAGTTTAAAAGAAAAATGTACCAGTGGTGAAGGCTTGGTTATGGAGAGAATGAGAAGCAGCTTCTGGAACGTAGGTGTGGTGATTTCTTATTTTCGGGGTATTTATAGAATTTTGGTGATGGATTAGTGCAAACATTATGTTACGTGTTGATCACACTGGCTTTGACGCGTATGTGAGTTAGAAACAATAAAGAAGCAGTTTCATTTTTCTATAAAAAGTTGTCAGTGTCTCATTCACCTAACTTGACGGTGCGTTTTTCTCTTCTTCCCGTGTTGCATCCGTAGAATCTTTTATAGCTCGCCTTTATAGTTTTACTTGTTTTATTTTTAGAGGTTTCTTAACTTTAAATTTTATTACTCAGTGTATGTATTTTTAAAATACTCTAATTTTATTAAATATATATTTATTATATTAAAGTATTAAAACTAAAATATTTTTTAATAAAAAATTTATAATTTTGTATATGATTAAATTCAATTTTAAAAGTTTAAATTATTTTTTCTTATTTTTATAACATTAATTATTTAGACTTATATTAGGTCATTATTTATCAATTAAATAAAATACCAAAAATTAATAATTATTTGTTGCTTTTATTTTAACTTTTAAATATAAGGTATTTATATCTTTTGCATACATCATTAACAATATTTGAGGTTCTATTATTAATCATAATTAATATTGTATTGATATTATTTTTTATTTTAAATATATTACTAGTATTAATCATAATGTTATTTTATCATTATTTTCCTTTCTTAGATTATTATACTTTTATTTATAACTATTTTTTATAATTTTATTATTATTTTATTTAATAATGACGGTGGTTACAATTATATATATGTGTGTATTATTTTATTTTTTTCTAAAAAATAATTATTTAAGGAGGTAACACAAGAACTAAACAATGTATTATGTATCTTTAAAATTTATTTATATTACTTTAAAATTATAAAACAGCTATTATTTTAAAAAATAAAATTAGTTAAATAAAATGTTTTACATAAACAGAAAAAATAAAATTCTGTAAATTTTAATACAGTTTAATATAAATTTTAAATAAAAAATTACTTTAAATTTATTAATAAATTCCTAAAAATACTGAATAGCAGGATCACGATGGTAAGCAAAGTACAAAATTTGGTCGGTTCACTGTATAATTTGATGTAATGTATCTAACAATTGCGTGTAGTGTGCGTGGCGTTGCCTTCGGCGCCCTTCGCTAATTGTTTGATCGGTGTTCTATTTGACATATCACAAACTATACAAACTTGACTTGTTATTTTGACATATCACAAACTATACAATATTGTGTTATTTTGAGAGGATGATTATCTATATTTAATTCATCCTCTCTTCTTAACATCCTACTTCTCACTTCTTTTTTATTTGTCTTAACCTATATTAATAACTCACTCCAACACTCAAATCGATTAGCTGATGGGAAAATAAACCACGAACTGTTAATTCCAGCCAATCCAAAATATTAATTGCCAATTTAAAAAAGGCAATGTCATCTTTACTAATATTATCATTACAATCATATCAAATTATTGGTGTCATCGTTAGCTCTGATGAATGATGAGTCACTAACTCATCTAAAAAATTAATGATTTTTTGATATATTTTATTGAATTTAAATTATAAGTTAATGCAATTAATTGATAAATTTAATGGACTGTTGTAAGTGCTGAAAAATAGATGAATCAATTATATTTTGATGGCTGGCAGTTTAATTTTAAAGGGAGTTAAAAGAAATGGACACTTTGGACTTAAAGAGCTGAAGTTGTGTGTTACAGGACACTTTTGTGGAAAACAGATTCTTGATTGTGGGGACACAATGCTGATTGGGCATATAAAAGTGAAAAATTTCTAAAAAGGGAGCATCTTTTTCTTTCCTTTTTAGTACATTCTAGAGGCACAGAATTCTAGGTTTTTTACATATAGCTTACGTAGAACATGTTAGCTAAGGTATTTTTCTTTACATTTTTGCTAGAGGATCTTCATGGAAACTTGGATTTCATCTCATTTTCTCTAGTTTATGTAATGGAACAATAACTTTATCATTTCATCCATCTGTTGTAAGCTCTTCTGTGAACATGAATTCAGTATTTGCAATATATTTCAGTTTTATATTACTTGCTTTCCTCATGTCTATCTAAATATCTTGGGGTTAAGTGAGGAAGAGCTTATACTTTCACCCTTTGCAATGAACTAACATTGGATATAGCTCAAGATACAAGCTTTATTCTAACATTTTGATTCTGAACTTAGTGTCTCACTGTTCTACGTGAATAAGGTTGATAAAAAGGAGTTCATGATGGAAAGTTGTAAGCTTTCTTGGACTGAAACCAAAATGCTTATTATAAATTGTCTAAGAATAGAAGTTTATAATGATGTGGTTTGTTGGATTTTAAATCTTAATGCTAAATGCTTTTAGTTGTATCTAAAAAATTAGAATACTAAATTCATTTTAGAACTAATTACCAAGGAATTGGGATTGGATATTTTAGAAAATCTGACCATTAAATAAAGTTGTATTTTGAGTTATAAATTTATTTTATACAAAGGGAAGGGGATAAGGGATTCCGAACTCAACCTACCTTTTAATTGTTTTTAGACCTATTTCCAGTAATTAAGACATTTAAAATTCTGCAATTATTTTAATTTTTATTCCCAACCTTAATTTTTCAATTCTGTTCATTTATAAATATTAATTCCAGCACTTTCAATTCTATTTTTACAATTCTGCACTTAGTAATTTTACATTCTGTTCATATTCTATTTTTTGTGACTCAACTAGTGTTATTCTTGTAAGTTGGTACTTAGCATTAATCCATGTGAACGATAATCTTTTATTAGTTCAACGATTTGGTGCACTTGTCAAAGAGTTTATCAGTGAACTAAGAGACATGAAAAAGGTTTACAGGTACTAAGAGGTTGGGTTAGATTCGGCTACATTAGTGGACCTTGTTACCTTTGGTTTGATAGATGCCTTACACCTCAACTTTTCCTTCAAGGTACACTTTCTAGTGCTTAAGAAGACTTGGGTAATGGCTAAGTTCTTCACTTTTTCGCTTGGAGTACATCAGGTTTATTTTATTCTTACTGTAGTTTATCCGTATTATGATTAGTAGAACTGTGTTGCTTTTACCTTTCTTTAAGTACACAACAGCCAAGTATATTATGATTTGACCCACTGCATATTATCTAAATGAATTTAGTCAGTTTTCTATTAACTTTATATGGTTCCTTGTTAAGAAATTCTACTTTCAATCCTATTGCTTTTTGCTTTGTAACTACATTAGCAATTTTCAAATAAGCTATTAGTTGCACTAGACTTATATTTTGCTTCTAAACAAGCAAGTTTTCTGCTAATTTGAACATGTACTGAAAACAAAATAATTTGAGATTACTAGTATCTTTTATATGATTATAATGCTAATTTATCATTGGTTTTCTTTCTTAGATGATTATACTGCTATTTATATATTGTTTTTAACAATGACTGTGGTTACAAATCTATATAAACTACTACTTTTATTTTAAAAATTTTATTTAACATGATTATAAATTAATTTGTCATTGTTTCTTAATTTTAGATTATTATTTTGTCATCCATATAACTATAATTGATTTTTTAATGTATTATAATATGTTTTATTACTAATTATTTAAAAATATTATAATGTTAGAGTAAACTATCAATTTAGTTCATATTATTTCTAGAATTTATTAAAATAATTCTTAAACTAAATAAAATGTCATTTTAATTTTCAATGTATGTAGCTATTAATCATTTTAATCTTTATCATCACTTAGACATTAGTTACTTTAATGACAAATAACATTGAAGTAAGCGTGAATTCACTTATATTTTAAAATGAAATAAAACATGTTATTAATGATATTAATATTGCAAAAAAAAATTATATGACTTGAAGTTTATTTTCTTTAAAATGATATTCTGTTTAGTTTAAAAAATATTTTGATAAGTCATAGAAATAATAAAAAAATAATAATTAATGATTGAATATGTTTAAAATTTTAAAAAAAATTCTTAACATGGAGACTATTTTAACGAATGAATCATAAAAATAATATAAAGTAAAATGATTAATGATTGTAAACGTTGAAAATTAAAATAATATATTTTTTCTTATTTAGAAGACTATTTTGATTAAATTTTAAAATTAATAAGAATGAAAATAATATCACTCTATAATATTATTTTATAAATTTTTTGTAGTCGTTACCATTCGAATTCTAGTACAGATATGAACTTATTTATATAACATAGATAATTATAAAATTTTAAGAATAATATTACTTTTTTATTATTAATTTTCTATTTTGAAATATAATATTATTTTATAAATTACTATTTGCGTATGCTATAGTTTGAGTTACAATAATTGTGTGTGCATTAGAATTATTGGGTGAAGATTTAATTCAACTTAGTATTTTTATGAAATATATAATTTTAGTAATGAAAGCATCATAATAATAATAATTATTGTTGAATACTTTAAATCTTGTGTTGAGGTAGACTTTTTAGCCATAGAATTTCACAAGAAGTAGGATACTACAATGCAACTTCAAAACTTTAATTTCATCGCTTTATAAACTCCTAACTTATTCATATCTCAATATACGTGAGACTAATTCACTCTTAATTTCAACTTCTTAAAAGTGTTGATATTGTTGCAATGATAGATCTGTAGTAGTTTAGGCAATTGATTTCGCACGGAGGGAGTATTAAAACCAGATGCTCAAAAGGGATGTAAATAGGCCAGGCTGTCCTAAGACCTAGCCTTTTTAAAGTCCAGTCTAACTTAACTTATTTAATTAATAGACTTAATTTAGACTTTTTAAAAAGCCTAATTAATTAAATAAATTAGGCTTGAGCTTAAAAAAAAGTCTATTAAGCCTATTAAAATAACCTATTTAAAATTTATAATAATATATTAAATAATTTTACATAAAATTATAATATAATAATATATTAAATCAATTAAAATTTAAAATAATAAAATATTAAATTAAAAACTCTAATATTTTTCATTAGA